AGAATGAATTTGTCAAGAATACAATTATTTTCTACACAAATTACACTCACGCTAACACCATTTGTGCGATGGTGGTCATAAAATTTAAAAGCAGATTGAGTTGAATTTGTAGTGACGTACTTTTATCACGAGAACACGATTGGTTTAATGAAAACAATTATCATTATAACCAATTGTACCAGTGACTATTTTTATGTGCTCATTGTTTAACAGTGCTAAAAACATCCAATATACTTACTTCGATTGTGACCTCGCGCGAATCCGGCGGAAATATTTGAATTGCGCCTGACAATGTTCTCTTTCACCATATTCACTGTCGCAATGGCTTCTGATAACAAGCCTAAAGATGTACTAATGAAAAAACCACATTCACCTTGATCGCCACCTTTCAAGAGCCGCATATGCTACAGGTTTCACTTATATGTTGTATCATGCTTGTAGGATACTACACTATGATTACAAAACCTCTCAAGTACTAGGATTGCTTGAGTTTCAATATACTAGGAACCCTAGAGTACATTTCTCTACTACGTCCTCACGTGTTAACACATTAACGAAAATTTTCACTACTCAGTGTTCCGAAGTTACGTTTCTAGGCCAGTTTGTACTTTTTACAAGTATAATATATTTCTGCCAGGGCAGGTACGCGCCATTTTTACAGTCTTGATCTACAAATTACAACATTAATTTGCTTACAGTATGCTTCCCAATCAGGGTCGTTTAATAGGTGAAACCAATAAAAGTAAATAACAGTACATTCGTGCAGATGTCTTGGAAAGTTACTTATTAGCTTTATGCTTTGGTATTACACTGGGTGAAGTCTTTAAAATATTATACAAAGTGTCATCGTGTACACGTTACACACCAGATCCAAGCACAGCATAATTGGGTTAAAATTCTGGTCGTGCTAAGTATTTATGCAATGTTCACAGCTTACTTAATAAAATGGCGAAGTTCAAAAGCACGGTGGGCACAGAAAAGCCCCACGTTACTCTCATTTCGGAAGCATGGGCAACGTCAGGAGCGTATTGCGGTGGAATTCATTTGTTTGGTTTCTAACCCTGCTGGTCTTAGAGAATAAACTATGGAGATGGTGAGGTTACTCTGCATATAATAAGCACCCTGACCACACGAGCTGTCAAGACAGTGTCACACAACTCAGAGGCACATGAGCTAGCGCGGTGCCGTCTGAAATGCAAAGGGCAAAACACTGAGTTGGTTTTATCATGTTGCAGTCCACAATACGTAGTGGGTGACTTCATCTTAAGTAAACTTAAATCCTGGTCAAATAGGTGTCGTCATTGATTACAAGTCAAACAGTGAGGGAGTTGATAATTTTCGCTTGGGCTGGAAAAACAGAACTAAGGTGTTTTTGATAGATACGTTAATCGAACCGACGTTCCTACGGAAGTCGATTCTAAGGGGAAGCTAATGTAACAGCCTAGGTTGGTTGGTTAAGAGTTCACCTCAAACAACCAAGCATATGCCAAAACAATATAGTTCCAATATTTATTCACTTTCTTATTTTGTATAAGCGATATATTTCCTATTATCTTACATTGAATGTTGAGAGGCTTTGTTTGTCTAATTAAATAAACAGACGCTCCACTGTGACTGCGCGAAGATCGAAATAAAGACCTATTCACTACCTGTCTGGTTTCTTCTATCAATAGCACGAGGGTTACCTTAAGGCACGAAAAAAGTACTGTAGTAGATGAATTTACCACATTCATTACATATTGGAAGAACTTATAAGTAGGGACATCAAAAAAATCTCTTGATTACAAACTGTTAGAAACCCCATCCACCTTAGATTGATTCCGGCACATAAGATGCCCCACTAGATATGACCTACAAAACTCATTGTCTGTTTTGGACTTGGTCTTCACTCACAGTCGTGATGTCAGTCAGATACCTGTAGGAGTAACACATAATATGGTCATCACATTCAAGTTCATGGCTAATATGAGCTTTCAAGAACTTGCACTGACCCAGCCCAACATATAGAAGATAGACATGAAGGTAATTAACACCATTAGACGCCTAGTAAATTAAGTGTAAAAGTGTCTCTATCGGCCTTGTCACACCAGATGCGGTGGAATACTACATGTCGTTCTAAAAATGTGTGCCAGTACAATTCGGGTAGCTCAGTGAAAATAAAAGAAGCAGTTGATCCACTCTGTAATCAGTCAGTCGTAAGAGACTGTTATTGTACATAAATTATGGAACAAGAGTGCACCACTGGATCCCCAACTTATTACGGAAGAAGACCAGGACAAAGAAGGAGCCACGGCGAACTGTTCGGGGACAGTTTTCATTCAGGAGCCTCTTCTAGACGAGGGAAGAGATGTGGGATATAATTTGTCCTACAGATATACTACTAGAACTGTAAACGCGAAGGCTATACCCAGAACATGGACAACTTGGTTTGAAACTTTGTCTGTTTCTAAACGTAAAAACAATCAGATCAGTACAATAATTAAAGGAATTATAGTCATTAAGTGGAACACACAAGCATCCCGAACAGTATTGCGTGTCTTCTAGAAATGAATAAAAATAATGAGTCACATTATTATAATGGAAAAGCAGTGTCCTTCAATTGACATATCACAGGCAACAGGGATAGTCTACAGAAATGTCAGACCAGATTGACGTGGTGGGCACTTAGGTAACGATTCGACTGGTTGGTTATGGACACAACTAACACTAGATCCAAATACAAAGTCACGAAGTCGGCTGCTCATTGTGAAATTTGATAGAGACAACGTACTGAGGCCCCTTAGCACTTTAGACGTGGAAAATCAAATAGAACAGTGTGAACCACACCTTAAAATCTAGAAACAAATGGCATAATACACTGCTGCCCTACTGGCTACGATATTCAATATGTCACTTGGCCAAGGCGAGTTACCTATTGACTGAAAGGATGCAACTCTTATTCCAATACATAAACCTGGATCAAGATAACTCTCATCAACCTACAAACCTGCCTGCTTCACAATTGTTTTGGTTAGGATTCTGGAAGGAATAGTAAAAAGGCCATAATGACGTCCATTGGACCCAACACCTTGTTGGACAGCGAATAACATGGTTTCAGGAGAGAATTAGCTTGCACGACAAATCTACTTATAGCAAGACAGCGATAGATAGAGGCTCTGGATAATGGAAAATGGATGGACGTTATCTATGTAGACATCAGTAAAGCATTTGATAAGGTGCAGAAGAATTGACTACACTTGAAGCTGGAAAATATGGTAATTTCTCCCCCCCAGAAAGGATTAAGGATTGATTGGTAGATCATAGACAGAAAGTAAGAACATATTCCAAATGCTTCTCCTAGAGCCCAATACTAAGTGAGGTGCCACAAGACTTAGCCCTTGGTCCTTTACTCTTTATACTGTATTTAAATGAAATCCCGAGTATAATTGAGTCTCCGATGCTACTGTATGCCAATAGTGTAAGAACCTGGAGAGAAAAAACAGGAGACGCAGATTCGCTCGCACTTCAGGAGGACTTTGATGTCCCAATTAGGTGGACTAGAAGGTGACTGGAGCCTATCAACGAGGCCAAGTGTGCCTACATGCACATTGTGGATACAAAGATAAATACGTTCAGCATGGGAGGAGAGTCGGTTCCAATAGTTTGGTCTCACAAGGATCTTGGAGTGATAGTAAGTCATGATTTTAAGACCACGCTCCCCTACCGCGAGGTCTCAGATAAGTGCTTCAGAACTCTATAGGCTTTAAGATGGATATTTATCAAGTTGTACACCAACATGTTCACTAAAATATACACAACCTTAGTAATATCCAACCTTTAGAACTATATTTAGGCTGCAGACCCCTGTTTAAAAGGTGACTTGGATATCTTGGAAAAAGTTCAGAGGACGGTTACTTGTACAGAGGGCAGCAACCCGTGCAATTCCAGAACTTCGGGGTTTACCATACAAGAAGGGTTTGAAAGCTAGACCTTGAAAATGCCACAGGTATTAAGAGTTTGACAACGCTTTAAACAGTAACACCTATTATGAACCGTACTCATCAAGTAAAATCAAAAGACAGAAGCGAGGGGGTTCGAAGATATATTTGATTGGCTATCAATATATCGAGGATCGACTGATCTATACTGACTAGCGATTGCACGGGATGTTGAGCACGGCGTTCTCACTCGTGATCTGGTGCGGATTCACGACTGAGCGCCTTCAGCTAGGTGAGTCTATTAGAACCAATGTGGTCAGGATCCAATATCGAAGACTTACAGAGCTATTTGTTTTGGGGATCTATTTACGGTTACAACCTCTTTACACTGTCCTATCACAGACTAAGGGGCGATCTAATTTTGACGTGTAGAACACGAAGAAATAGTTTGGGACATAATATATTCTCTTTTTCTTCCCACTAGATCGGTATATCTAAGAGGACATAGCAGGCGAGTAGAAAAGCCATGGAAGAACAAAATACCTGTGGTATACAGGTTTTCACACCGAGTCGTCAATTCCTAGAACCTATTACCCGAAGCACTGGTGTCTGCACCCTCAATTGACCTATTCAAAAGAAGACTGAACACCCATAGAAGCATACTAGAAAAGGAAAAACATAGGTCGTAGGCATTCTGTCCATACTCAAGTCTGAAATCTGAACTTGAGTCTATTAAGAGAAAACTTGACATAATGTTAAGGACTCACTAGAAATTACTGATATTTTTTTTGTTTTTTTCGTTAAGTATACTTAGGTTTCTATTTGGAGACATTGGTGATCTACTGCCACCAGATACAGAAACAGGTCAGGCGAAAACTCCTATTCCGTCCAGAACCATTTGCACCCAGTTGCAATAAGCAACTCTAATCTGAATCTTCAACGAATGAAACTCGTATCCTAAACACGTGATAGAAGTCCAGTCTGTCGACGCTTTCAAAAGAAACGATCATTCTCAAGACTAACACAAGCACCTCGTCCTTTCGAAACTGAAACTGAGACTCAGGGTTATCAAAAGATAAAGAGGCAAATTCGAGTTCGTTGTCAATGCATTTGTAAGGGACGTCATTTGATTCTTTAGATAAAAGACTTGGAATGTGTTTGAGTGATAGAGATCCTGATGAGTGGCTTCGTGTTTGCTCTCGTAAAACAAAACGTAAACACAAGGCTACACGACCAGTGAAACGTCCTGCTATTCAGAAACCTAATATTCCTTTAGATTACATAGATGATGACAGCCTGGAGACGGTTTTAGGTAGATTTGATGGTATCCGGTCTAGTTTACTTCTTTCGAAGCCAGACAAAACTTTCCTGGAAGGCTTATTAAAGTCTATCAATCAGGCGTTCACAATTATATCAAATAAACAGACTGAGCCAAGTAGGATTGATGTGATTTGTTTAGGATTGGGTAACCCGGCTGTCCATCATGCCAGTTTACGTCAGTTAGTTGTACTAGATCTTCTGTTGCAGTTTGATCCACGTATGGAGCGATCACGTACTCACCTGTATGATCCTGTTTTCAAATCTGTTGCTCGTGCTTTAATAAGAAAGCTTGGAATGCATGTGAGTATATTTTAATGTGATGTAAAAGTGTGCTGAGTTCATAGTAAACATTCTTCTAGATATAAGTACAAATATGTTAAATTAAGTCACGTGTTATGAACGTAGAACCCAACACAGATGTGCGTTAGCCCAGAATATATCACATTAGCAAGATGAGACAAAAGTAACAAGATGAACAGTAAAGGAGCCTCAGTAATATAGCAGCTATAATGGTGGGTCAGATTAGGGATTGAGAATATGGTTCCTTAAGATAGGAAAGGTGCGACTGAATACTGAAGTCCAGGACCTACGGTTAGGTAAAGAATAAATTTACCTGTGCCGTTGTGGCAATCTCTGAGACATATAACATGACGTCTCTAACCACTAATATATTCCATCACTTGAATTCCGACCAACATATCTCAAACTCAACCAATGACTTGGTGGACTGATGCAACGTCTTAGTTTGGCATTGCGTAGTGAATTCTTGGATGCAAGCAGAGCCATTCAAATTATATTCATACCATACTAAGGTATATAGTGTAAGGTCTGAAACGTTTTCAGGAAATCTTCAAACTAGCGAAATATAGTTGACTGAAAGATATATCGTAACAACTCCAGCAGCTTGTTTTAAAATTATAGTTAGTGAACTGATCTAGGACGGAGCTCGTGTCACTCTTTAATGTCTCGTGCAGTATCTTGTGAAGCATCTTCAGTTTACCATATTAATCTGTTTGTTTTGTTTTTCATTACGAATGTTGGTATTTTGTGACAACATCCGTCACAGGTCCTTACCTTATCTCTGTTTTTTTTAGTTGACTTAACTGTCTGAGAATATCAGTGATTAAGTATCTTTAGAATACTTGGAAATTGTACTCACTGTTGATCCTTTTCATTATTCAATGGTTTACTACTAAGACAAAGTCAGTCTGAATCTAACCTGGTTTTCAAAAGTTAGGCACCTAAACCTTAGCCAAATATCTGTATAATTTAATTTGCATTAAGTTTATTGACATCATTATAGATTAGAATAGAATGTTGGCCGAACCGTTCTGTTAACCGTTCTTATGCATTTATCGTGTGCATGTACTAGATACTTAATGGTTAGTAAAATGATAATTAAATGATAAAGTAAGGTTTATTTAACCAATAATAATAAAGTTAGCTTACATCAGTGAATAACCATACAATGACGAATGTCAGTCATACTTGCCATTTTGTTCAGTTTACTCAAATGTATGACACGAACAAATAGCAAAAAATGCCACATACACATTCGTGGAATGAATCGAAAATATATGGTTGCTATATCTGTCATTGAGAATTTCGTTTAAATCTTTTGATCTGATTTTTTCTATCTAGATTCTACCGAACAATAAAGAAGGTTGTTATAAATTATCACCTGATCGATTTTACTTCGTTATGCTACCACATTGCGCTCCAGCTCTTCTAAATAATTTACTGTTTACTAATTGGTCGCCTAGTATACTTTCCCGTGTGGTACTGTTCTCTAATGGATGGAAAGAGGCTCGCCACGAGTTAATTGCTTCAGGTGCTTCAGATGGTCTGAAGATTGCTAAGGAACTAGCTTATATTACTGCTTTGGAATCAGTGGTTCACAGTCCTGGCAAAGAACATTATCTACTTTGGTCTTCAAGAAATAAACTCAGGGAATACAGAGATTTTGAGGGTATGCGTGTGCAATGTTTTTCTCCTGTTGAAATGGATAGTTTACCAAAGAATGTATGGAATATACCTCCTTATTCTGAAAAAACAGATAAAGAAATATCCTGTTCTAGTAAATTAACACAAAATAGTGGGATTTTTTCCGATATAATTGATGCTAATGTTGTACCAAATTTTATCGATTCCAACACTGATGGCTAAAGATTTGTTCAAATTTTCCAAAATCAGTAATGGTATTATCTTTCACCTTTTTCCTAATGATCTTCAGACTCATGAAGTAAATCCATCCTTATTTGCTGTTTATTCATGTACATTGTGATTTTACACTGCATTCCCATAGTATGCTTAATTACTGTACATATTTTAGCCTTTTTTGCAAATGGAATATTATTCTCCATACTGAGTGAATTTGAGTTTCAACTTTAATTACTAATTTGAGTGATTTTTTCTTTTTGAGAGTTAAAATACATCTGTTTTGCCATTGCAAAAAAGTGAGGACTAATAGCCTAAGAATATTCATTTTTTTGCAAGACCAATTAGTAAAGCTGTACATTCGTATTAATAGTTATTTGGCGGGTAAAGTTTTTATTTATTTTAACACCGTTGGTAAAGAAGGTACCAAATATATATGCTCCATACAATATAAATGAGGTTGTGCATAGATAATGGAGGGTATGATAAGAAGAAGGGCAATAATGAACAGAAATGTGTGAGAGTAAAATAATAATGGGCGAAACAGTTCAGTTAGGAGAAATGCAACCAGAAAGAATCCTTTCAGTTAAAGAAGTTACATCCACTTTCATGATGAAAGTGGAAGAAAGTTAGCAGGATAGCCACGGGCTTCTATTCTAAGCTATGTCTTATAACATCTCAAGCGATTGTTATACCATCTCAAGGACCCCGACCAAGGAGTCGTGGTATAGTAGTTTATTATAAGATAGACAAAGACATTTTCCAAAAATTTCAAACATGCGAAAGAAGTTGAGCAGTAATTTAGAAGGTATCAGGAATTGTTGAGCGGGAATCATCTGTTGATGCGAAGAATTCGAGTTAATTATCCTCTTGACGAATATAAAGGTAAAAGGGAAACAAACCGGTATTAATAATGAATTATCGAGTAGAAAAGGGATTTTGGAAAACATGATTGAATTACAGGTCCGACTTGAGGCTTTTAAACTAAGTTAGCATTTGATTTTTTAAAAATTGCTATACATCTTTTGCTGTACACAATCCCCTATTTCATTTTTTGTTTCGTGTTACTACGCGACCGAAATTGGTATGTTTCGGAAATGGTATGCTAGTTGACTTGAATCTCCTATTTAATTTCTACGGTGAGAAACACTCAAAGGTATGGTTAAAAATGTGAGTTTAGTGCGCTTATGTTGAGGGAGTTGTTTCTCAACTGTGAGTCAAACTATTGTCCGTGTCATAAAATCCACCATAGACTCGGTGGATATAAATGTATGTAACTTGTATGGAATGATCTATACTTCTGTTGAATACGGTTATTGTTCATATATTATTGTCAATTGATCGGTCAGACAAGCCTTTCAGTAGTCACGCGAAACTTAGGTAATAATAGGTAGTTGCTGGGTTCACTTAACTATGTCAATGTAATTAGCTGAACATTACATATTGTATCTAAACGACCATAGGGTTTTTGAGCTTTCCTTCTGAGTTTATATCGCTTCATTGAGATTAAATGATTTGCAGTTATTTTGAGAATTAGCGGAATTTCGGTTTGCTAATTTTTGTGATATTATTTACTTATCTGATAGTAACCGAAATTTATTTCCGCAAAATGAAAGTCTGATTAGTGTCCCATCACTGCCGTATCCTACAGGTCAAGGTCCCACTGATATAACGCTACATTCGAAAATACCTGTGATGTCACACGCACTACTTTCTAGTCTAACAAGGTAACATAAGTAATTAAAGTTCTCGGTTTACATATCACGTCATAGAAATCATATTGTTTCAGATACTCATCGTTTTAGGAAAAAATATCTTGAAATCTAGTTATTTAGGTATGTACACCATCTTTTTGTTAAATACTATTCACAGGAGCCTTAGTATAGGCTTGTATTCAAAAGATTGAGCAATGCAAATTCGATTTCCTTTCGCTGATGTATATGCAGCTTAATGGAAATAAAAACTCTTGAATAAAAGTGCTATCAAATGTACACGGTAAAGCAGTTTTCGTGAGCAGGAGACAAAGCGATGTGGAATTCAGTACAACATTCAGCATAATCACACGGATAAGACAGAAGAGATAAGAGAAATACTATAAGGCACCTAAGTTCTATAGCAACTCTAAACCATGTAATCTCGAAGGTCCTAATTAGACCCTACAATCTACATTATTTGGTTCCTGGGTGGTGTTCGATGTCACCGTTGAGTCTGTCGACCTACTTTGTAGTGTAACCACTATGTTAGGTGGTTTGGTGTCGCATTGTACTTTGTTTTATGTTTAGTAGCTAGAAGCAGTCAACAAGAGTAAGTGAAATCAGTCTTCGTACTGATTGAAACTCATCATCGAGGTGTATTCCCGATCCTAAAGAAAGTGGTACTCTGGCAGTGCTGCAGTTGGAAGCCACCACAGCTATTCGCGGTACGAACTTCGTCAATGCAATTTTGTTGTAGTCGAGAGTTATGGAATATGGTACTGAGTTGCTGGTTGGTGAGTCATCTCAGTACTAACTTAAGCTCAGTTATCGCCCTGGTACGGCTGAGAGTGGGGAGAGTCCGCTCTCCCTCTCGAAATGCTCTCACATGGCCACGCATATACAGCCTCTTTCAGGCTCGGGGTGTGGCTCCCTAAGAAAACCACCTGCTTCGGTTTGGGCACCCGGGCAGTATCACAGCCCTCACACACGTCGAATGAGATTTGTGTGACGCATATGTATTTGGTGCCCTCTTGTACCAATATCCATGTGTTAAAATAAAATAAAAATATCAGTGATAATGGTCACTAGGTTCTGTTTCTATTATTTCCAGAAGGATCCAGTTTTTTTTATAGTGTTGATGCACCTTAGCGATCGGCGACGATCATCATAAAACCTTATTTTAGGTTTGCTGTTTGATTACTTTTAACCACCCAACAACACAATTTAAAATAAAACTGTGGAGCAGTGTTTTGGTGCCTAATGCACTAAACTTTCAGTCACAATTCTCAGGTTCTAACCTCTATTTACTTCACCTTGAACGTCCGGGTACTAAAATTAGCGCTCACACTTAGAGTGTACCAATTACCTGATGAATGGGCTTGTTGGAAAAACGCTATTACTAACAAATTGATGTTTTCACTGATTACTCTGTATTAAGGCAAGAAAATTTCAATACTATATCGCTTTTTGTGCTTATGTATTTATTTATGTGAGTAGCACAATTACATACATGAAAACTAACTAAATTCTAGCTTGATTTCAATATAAAATTGAATTAGTGTGGGTTTATAATTGGAGTTAATAATAATGTGTTGGATAATAATGAGATGTATATGATAAGGATTTAACATCAGAAGAGAACGTAAACTGGTTCTGAATGTCGCTTTAACAATGTTGTCTGTAAGTAGAATGAATCAATTGTTTAACTTAATTTGTCCTTTAACTGATCGACAAAATGGTCGAATCAAGTATTTAACTGACATCATCGTAACTTCCAGTATCCAATAGTGTTTCCATTGTTTGTATTGATAGCTTTTGCATGATTTGATGCAATTGATAATTTAACCATTCCAATTTTTTGTAGATTATATTCAGTCTAAATTATAGAAAATAAATAAATAACTGGCAAAAATTTAATTCCACTGACTTTTTTAATTGAGATGTGCAATTGTCATTTAAACAATATTTACTTACATTTAAACCTGAATTGTTCTATTCCACTTAATAGTTAATACTGTGAGTGTACAAACTTGAATTAGTTAGTGAATTAAGCTTCTGACTGTTGTTTGCCAGCATGTCAAGTTACCTTACTGTCACTAGTATAAATTCTTGGACAAGTAATGCATAAGATCCCAATGTTTATTAATCAGGTTTATTTAAGTGATATATTTACCCCGAAATAAGTCTAAATTTCATTAATTTTACCGCCCTGAATCAGTGCATCATGTGAAATATAGAAGCTAGCGCAAGTACACATCGATCCACGTCACTTTTCAAATGAGGATAGCAAGCGTAAGATAGTAAAATTATAACGGAATGGAATACACAAGTGTCGATTATATTAGAAAAAAAACAGTTTAGGAAGAGCGAATTAAATTGAGGAATGAGAATTCTAATTTAACAGTAAAACTTAATACTTAAAATAAGATAAGGAGATGATGAGTCTACATCACTTTGAGTGATTTTGATCTATATCATTTAGTGTTGCCTACCAAAGGGATACGTTCAGTGATCCTACACTTTCGAAAACGAATAGGACCAATAACTCTATAAACCGGTGGTACACTTTGGTCTAGTCCTCTTTAGCCTTTTCACATTATCTCCCTATGCTAGAATTATCATCCTAAGTTTAAGCGAATAAAATATAGATGATGACCGTCTTGAAATATTAAAAGTATTCTAGAGGCATAAAAAAAACCCACTTTACTACGTACCGTTGATTTAAAAGTTCGACGGTTTTGTTTAGTTCTTGTCTAGAACGCTCATACTTTTAATAAATTAAAATAAAAAGTAGAATTATTTGGTTATCTGATTTATCGTAAAAAGATCTTTACTAATGGTAATATTAATACTAATAATATTAGGAAAGATAATCATTGTCTAGTTGATTTTACTTAAGTTAGTTTACTCTGAAGACACTTTTTGTCATGAAGTGATGTAAGCTAAAAGGCCATTGAAAATAAGGCAGGACCGTTTGAACGTGTCATCCTAGCTTGGTATTTCTTCCTGGTATGCAGCCATAATCCCAATAGGGATGTTTGGGTCGTATATTTGCAAATACTTTAGTTCTAAATCCTCTCATGAATAGAAAACCAATTATATCGCCTCAAACTTGGATGATAAGTCCAAGAAGGAACGAACTGAGCGAAGAAATTTCTTTTCAATTAGTTTTTCATCATGGCTCCACACTAATATATATACTTTTTTACAATAATAATATAATACTCATCGAGTGAATATGTTACGTGATAATTACATAATGACATTTAAATTAACATTGAGTAATTGGAAGAAAGAGGATTATTAATATTCAAA